AGCGGCGCGGCGGCCCCAGCGCCCCGGGAAGAAAATCGCCATTAGTTGGCGCCATATACACTAACCGGGATGAAACGAACCCAAACTCGGACTACTTATTGCAGAACAAATCAGACATCCGAGCCCCAAACCCGTGCAGTTTAGACTAGGACATTTATTTTCTTCAGTAGGCATGTCTAGTACATAAAGACCACCTTTAATTTTTTAATAAACTTGTTGAATAAAAACAATCACAGAAAGTTTATAAAGGTGGTCATTTCATTCTTATTTTGAATTCCACCATACAGTGAGTTTTACGTTTAAGGCTTAAACGTTTCAGTTAATCATGTGAATTGCTGACATGCTACATTAATATTTACATCCACTCAAAATTATATAAAATACAAGCATTTTCTTTAGTTCAACAGTATTGCTTAGAATTACAAAATACAGCAATGTCTGAAATACTGAAGGTTTCATAAAAGCAGCAGGTTTTCTCCCATTCCCAGTCTTAACTGTTCAGAAAATTACTAAAAATAAAAATATCTACCATGTTATATAAGCCACAGATCTAGAAACATGACTATCAAGTCTTAAACCACATAAATGAAAATGGCAACTCGCAGATGAGCATGACGTTGCTAAGGGCACGATAAGAAGTCTCTGTGCTCTACGTATTAGTGTCTTTTTTTTTTTTGTCAAAAAAATAATGGTGTGTTTAGATAGAAATTTAGAAGTCAGACTGGCTTTGTGATGAACACATCAGTGCTTCTGTCATTAATAGTGCAGAACCACTATGGTGACTACTGATGAACACACTTATATGTGTGTAGCAAAACAAACCTGTAACAACATGGTGCAATTCTTTCATTGGGATGGATCTATAAAGAAATATCACAATTTCCCATACGTGTGCTTAAGTACACTAGTTTTAAAAGCTACAGGTGAAATTTCAACCTCTGAAACGTACACTCAGTTTATTTTGTCACAGTAGGAACTGTGTGTACTTACCCGGGTTGAATTTTGCTGTAATCCAACTATTAAACTATTTTTGGTCCCCACATGCAAAAAAAAAAAAAAAAAAGGCCCAAAAAGCCTACTGGGAGCATTTTTTCCCCTTATCCCTTTCACTTGTTTGTTGAGGACAGATTAATTTTATTTTTAGTTACTTTTTTTAGTGCTTTTCAAGTATCTAGCCTATGAAAATGAATAAACAGCTTAAAACATCAGGAAGAAATTCCAAGCATTTTCACAATCAAAGATAACATTCTGCACCTTTTTTTTTTTTTTAAGACCATATAAAAAGAAATTGATAGTGTATAGGTTCTCATATTTATAGTAAACAAAAAGAATTCCTGTTGTATTCAAAAGTAGTTTCTCAGCATATGCAAACTGTGGATCTTCCCTTATTCAGAGTATTTTTCAGAATACATTAATTTAGCCTATAAAAATACAATATGGACATTCCCTGACATAAGAATTCACAATTTTGAGACAAAAATTGTAAACTTTTTATTACATTCAAAATACATTTCTTAAGTCTTTAGAATTTAAGTTCTGAGGTGTTGGCAGTCAGAGCTCTTGGTATACAGCAGAAATACATTATTGCAGAGCCTTTACACAGAAGTAGCTTTACAAGTTAAGAGAAACTTACTGTTCCCACATATTTTTGTTGCTACCAGGAGGAAAAGAAAGGCTTTCTGCTATGAAAGGTCTGCGTGAATGCATTACTTAGATGAACAATTCGGCCCTGACTTCCAGTGCTACTTCGCTCCACAATCACACGTGGCATCTGAACAAGCTGAATGGGACTTTTTTCATCCTTTAACGCCTGAGTAAGGTTTAGTATCTAAAACGGTAAAAGCAGGTAAGGTGAAGGCACACAAATACAACTGTGGCTAACAGGCTTATAAATTAGATGTCACTCCTAAATCAATTCTGTAGCACAAGACTGTGCTGTCATATTAGTTTTAAAAGACACTCTATTGCCAAGTAGAAATATTTCATTTATTGGTAACATTATGACATCCTACTGCTATCTGACTACCCTCTTAGTCTTTTCTCAACTAGTTCATGCAATCCTCTCCAAATTTTTGGAAAAGACAAAAATCTAAGAACATTTTAAATTTAGCACAGCTCAAGAGCATTGCACCTTTGATGAGAAAAAAACCTACAAGAAAGCAATCAACAGGCATTATACATAGGATCTACCAGGAGTTTAGCTACAAGTTATTTTCATATCAAAAGATACGAAGGCATATTAATAACCCATGCCAAACCCAGTGCCAAGATCCAAATTCAGCCATCAGCTCCAAGGAGTCTGTTAGTTTCCTTCCAAGACTTCAGTGCTCATTAACTGCCCTGATAATTTACTCTATGTTTAATGTTAATCGTGCTGAAAACTGAGGAAAATATTCAACTTAGTTCTGGTGACACACTTGCATTATCCTTAATATCAAGTCTTTTTTCCCCCTGCATAATGCATCTTTCTTGCTTGTGCAACTTACTGATCCCCTGCTCACTCTGCACATTCATGGCAGAAGAACCCTGACAAAGTCTTTTGCACGGTTTACTGCAATTTGGCTCTTCCAGCAACTCTACCTGACATTTACATTTTCTAAGATCTTAAGGCAATCCTCTGTAGATCTGTGTTACCTGGTTAGTCAGTCTGTTTACCCTGGGTTTGAAACCCTTCCCAGTATTTTTTCCCTTGCTTCACAAGAACATGCTTCTAACTACTTTTTGTACCTTAAAGACTTTGCCCCTTACGTGCAAGATTATTTCTCTTCAGCCTCCTTATCTTTATCAACTAGAGTCTTCATTGTCTAATTCTGAAAAATTTTCATTTTTAAGGATGTATTTACAGATATTTTGGCTATCCTGCAAATTCATCTTAACCAAATGAATCCATTACACATTGTCCTGGTTTCAGCAGGGATAGAGTTAATTTTCTTCCTGGCAGCGGGTATAGTGCTATGGTTTGGATTTAGGAGGAGAATAATGTTGATAACACACTGATGTTGTTGCCAAGCAGTCAAGGACCTTTCATACTGCCCTGCCAAGGAAAAGGTAGGGGGCACTCACGAAGCTGGGAAGGGACGCAGCCAGGACAGCTGACCCAAACTGGCTAAAGGGATATTCCACACCATATGATGTCATGTTCCATATATACCTGGGGAGCTGGCCAGGAGGCACAAGGCTCAAGAAATATCTGAGCATCAGATTCGGTTGGGGAGCAATTGTGCTGTGCTTGTTTTGTATATTCTTTTATCATTAGTATTATTATTATTATTCTCTTCCTTTTCTATCCCATTAAACTGTTTTTATCTCAACCCATGAGTTTCACCTCTTTTCTTTTTGATTCTCTCCCCCATCCAGGCAGCTGGCATCCACAACCCATGCGATCTAGGTATCCAACTCTTCTATAATACCCTCGTAACATACTTTGGTTTTACACCAAAAGCGAGTCTAACACCAATGCTAAAACACATAATTTGCTGATGTATTTCCAATCACATTTAAGAATAACTCCTAATCTGCATTTCTTCCCTAAATCCATGCCTGAAAACCTGACATCTCCCACATGAAACACATTCTTGTATAGCTAGAGATTAAAAACCCCCCAAAAAACTCTGCTGAAATCCACCTCAGGGAAAGGGTGTAAAGACACAGATGCAGCCTTTATAGTGGGAAATTAAATTTAGACAACCGTGGCTAGATCTCTCTCAATCAGGCTTTTTCCTTAAGCTTTTTGTTAAATAGCAGATTCCCTGTAACCAGTTGTCTCATCACAAGAAAACTACTTAACACAGTTTAAGATGCATTAATACTTCAGGAGTGACCTTTCAGTGACTGCACAAACTCCTCAGAAAGTTACTTGAGAAATAACTCCTATAATTCAATTTAATAAGTAAGGTTTGCTGGCCTTTAGCCACCACACAGAACTAACGTTAACTGGGATTATGTTTGACTCAGCAGAGCTGCAGTCTTGTGCAAGGTACTTCTTGATAGAGGAAACTCTACAGAGAAAGGTCAGATTAAGCCACTCTAGGAATTGTGAGTGTTTGGCTTTAAACTATCCATGTTGAATTTAGGAACATAGAAGTCAGTTTCAATAAATTCAGGGCAAATGGAATTATTAATTTATCTAGTCCAATTCCCTTACATTTTCACAAATCACTGTTTTATGCCTACAATGAACTAAAAAATTTGTTCTTAGCTAAAGTTTGTTTTCCAGTATATCATACCAGTCTTAAATTTTAGAACAGCAAGAACATGGAGAAAACCTTCTCCTCTCTTGTTTCGATGTTAAAAAACCCCTAACATTTAATTATCGAATTTCTAATCTGAAAATGGCTGGACTGTTTCCAAGTATGGTTCTGACATTTGCTAGGATGAAGAAAATTTATTACCTAATATTGATTTCTTCAGAGGTATTTCAATCATCAAGTAAACTCTCCAAAATAAAGTCACATTTATTTTAATAACATAACACAATTATCCACTAAATTTTCCATCCAAATTTATGACTCTTCTGCAGTCTTTCACTTTTAAAATACCTTCAAAGAATATATAGTTATTAAGTCCTCCCCTATCCCCCACAAAAACAATAAAACCCAATTATATTATTTAAGAAAATATTCTGCTATAAAAATAGTTTTTTAAAAAATCAGTATACACTTTCTGCTGTCTCATCTATATGCAAATAAGAACATACTCTAGAAAGAAATGTAGTCTTCTCAGACAAAAATACCTTCAAGTGCCTTTCAATTCAATAGGAGTCAGGTTTTGTAGCTTGAAAAAAACCAGCTGACAAGTGGTGACAAATTAAATACATAAATAAAAAAGTAAAAACGCAGTCTTACCTGCCCTCTCATAACGGACATTTGGTTTTCAAAAGTAGCCTTGTCAAATCCTTTATCAGTCTTCAATAAAGAAAACAAACAGTTATTATAGGAAGTGACCGATTTATTTTTAGCTATGTATTTATCATGCAAATTCATCAACTTCATAATACACATAGCAACATTACAATAATTTTCAGAAGCTTCAAATAGTCATGGTATGACTCACAAAAAGGTCTACTAATTGCAACAAGTTTACATATGTGAAAATGAAGGATGTTCCACATCATAAATGTAAAATACATCAGGGGATACCACTTTAGCGCATTGGTAGGTAGGCTTAATACCATCACATAACATTACACTACTCTCTCACCTTTACTCTGGCAAAAGAATACTTCCTCCTTCATATTTATTAAATACTTCAACTTCCACTGGGTTTAACAGACAACCCAGAGTCACTTTGAATACAACTGAGTCAAAAGGCGTAAATATTGCAAACGTGTTTCATGATCTAGTTTTGACGTTACAGCTGCATTTTCATTAAAAGTTTAAAATTTCTATTTCTTTCCATCCTGACCATTTGGATTATTTAACTTGAACATCTGACAAATATTTATGGAATGTTTCAGAGAAGGACACTCCTTCACATGTCAATATCGTAGCACAGTTTCAGTATCTTTAAAATAAGTTTGACTTTAAACATGGTCAAGATTTCAGCATCAACTTCACACAATATATGTATGTAAAATTAAGTATATGAAAGGTATGCAGGTGCCTTAAGTTACATTAAATACATTATTTCTCAGGTTGCTACAGTTTATCTGTTAAGTGTATACACACCACACAGGTACGTTAAATGGAGTTTTTACACAATTTGTACATAGAAGTTAACTAGCTTTATTGATTATGCAAAACAAATCTGAGCTGATTATTATCAGTTACCCACACTAGTGACACAGTTTCCTCTTATATAAACCCCTTCTACCATGCCAGTGTTAAAGCTAAAATAGCACAGTATCATGACATACAGAAGTTAAATTCTTAAAAAGAAAAACCATCTAATTGTTCCATTACAGGTGTTAGCTGTTTCAGTAATGTTCAATTCAAAGAAGCACTTGATTCACCTTAAATAGTTCATAAAGATCTTCACAAAGATCCTGTACGAAGTTCATATCAGAAATGCGAGGAAGAACTAAATCTCTGGTCTCCTGAGAGAAAGGAACTTTTGCTTGAGACAACCATGCCCAGTGAAAGGGATCTAACACAGAAAAACAGTACATTTACTGATTAACAACAGACAAAACTGAAATTCAAGTGCTTGGCACTGATACAATACTCTGCTGCCTGCTTCAAAATCTCAGTTACACACCATTTTTCACAACTTTGTTACCCCATATACCTTTTTTGGCTACAGTTACAAAAGCAGCTTCACAGCTAACCTGGCCTTCTTTACAAAGGTGAAAACATTTTAATGAACTTCCTAACACTGCTCACAGCCCTTCAAGTCTGACAGTCCAGCCAGTTCTCCATCCACATGACAGTCTGTATCTCACATGGGACTACAAGAATACTATGACAGACCATGCAGAGGGCCTTGCAAAAGTCAAGGAAAAAAATCAGTATTCATAGAATCATAGAATCCTAGAATGGTTTGGGTTGGAAGGGACCTCAAAGATCGTCTAGTTCCAACCCCCCTACCACGGGCAGGGACATCCTCCACTAGACCAGGTTGCCCAAAGCCCCATCCAACCTGCCCTTCAACACTTCCAGGGAGGGGGCATCTACGACTTCTCTGGGCAACCTGTTCCAGTGCCTCACCACCCTCATGGTCCTAATATCCCATATAAATCTACTCTCTTTCAGCTTAAGGCCATTACTCCTTGTCCTATCACTACATGCCCTTGTAAACAGTCCCTCTCCAGCTTTCCTGTAGGTCCCTTCAGGTACTGGAAAGCCACTATAAGGTCTCCCCAGAGCCTTCTCTTCTCAAAGCTGAACAACCCCAACTTCATAGGAGAGGTGCTCCAGCCCTCTGATCATCTTCATGGCCCTCCTCTGGACTCATTCCAAGAGGTCCATGTCCTTCTTACGTTGGGGACCCCAGAGTTGGACACAGTACTTCAGGTGGAGTCTCACAAGACCAGAATAGAAGGGGAGACTCACCTCCCTCGACCTGCTGGTCACACTTCTTTTGATGCGGCCCAGGATACTGTTGGCTTTCTAGGCTGCAAGCACGCAATGCCAGGTCACGTTGAGCTTCTCATCTACCAACACCCCCAAATCCTTCTCCTCAGGGCTGCTCTCAATCTATTCTCTGCCCAGCCTGTATTGGTGCTTGGGATTGCCCCAACCCATGTGCACGACCTTGCTGAACTATTATTCACTGCCCTCCCCTAATCCACTGAACCAGTCATTTTATCATTAAAAGCTGTCTAGTCAGTCAAGCACAGTTTGTCCTTGGTAAATCCATGCAGCTTCCCCATCACCTCCTTGTTCTCCATGTGCTTGAACACGGCTTCCAGGAGATTCATTCCATGAACTTCACAGGGACTGAGGTTAGGCTGGCTACCCCATCATTCCTTATACTCTGCATCTTGCCCTTCCTGAAGATGGATACGATACCTTTTTCTAGTCATCAGCAACCTTCCACACTACTACAGTCTTTCAAGAGTGATGAGAAAACAGTCTCACAACGACATGGAATGGTTTGGGTTGGAAGGGACCTCAAAGATCATCTAGTTCCACGCCCCCTGCCATGGGCGGGAACACCCTCCACTAGAGCCGGTTGCCCAAAGCTTTGTCCAGCTGAGCTTTGACTTTCCAGACTCCATTATTGCACTTTTGGACAAAGTCTCTATTTTCCCAGGAGAGTCTCTACTTTTTTTTTTTTTTTTAAATGTACTTCATTTTTGTGTCCCAGTTCAGTTGGGAGCTCCCTGTTCATCCATGCTGGACCAACTTCCTGCCTTTGGGATAGGCTGTTCTCTGGCTTTGAGGAATTTATCCTTGACAATCAACTAGCTCTAGTCATCAAGAAAACATGCTCTACGCCTCAAGAGCCTGCAATTTTAAACAACATTATGCTACAAGTTTACCTTTACAGAATTGTTGCATACTTGCCCAACTGCAAAAGAATTCTAAAGGATCATACAAGTTCATTACTTTTGAAGCTGAAGTAAAAGATGGTATAAAATAAGCAATAATCGTGACGTCTCTAGAACAGCTGCAGAAGTGACTGTAGCCAAGAGACACACAGGATGGTAACTATTGAGTATCAAGATATACTGAGACTATACAGAGCTCTGGGTGGGGTAATTAACTAGCCTGTTGACAGCAAAACTAGCCCACACTTAACTGCCATAATTACCTGATTGGCTAACAGTCCACAGAAATAATTGTAAACCCTGTTGGGCACTTCCCTCTAACCTATATGTAGTCAAAAATGTGGTCAGAAGCAATCTAGCTTTAACAATAATATCAATTTTCAGTCTAACTAAAGATTAACTTCTACAACTGAAGCTGAAAACATGTAGAATAACATGTAACTTGTCTATTTGTTCACCTACAGCAGTACCCTTTGTTTTGAAATAGAAATTTGGCCATTAGAGAGACAACTTGCATATCCTTGCACTCAAGTAATCTTCCACCATGCTTTTCAAGAAAACACACAAGAAACATGTTGCTAATTTTTTTTCAATTCCACCAGTCAGTTTACATAGAGTAGCATGTTTATGAATATCCATGTATTAATATTGTTTAAAGGTATAAGGGTAAAAATATATGAACCAGGACTAAGTCACATATGCCATTGCAAAAATAGCATTTGTTGCTAACTTTCTGAAGAAGATTATGTTATTTAAAAATTCAATACATAAGAAACTAAGAAGTCATCACTGTAGTTACTAGCGCCACTCAAATAAAAAATACTTATTTGGGAGTTACTCTCCCAGAAGGAAGATGACTAAAGAACACAATACTTACATGCCCTCCACTCATCTGGATGCTTAAAAGGAAATGCTAAACCATTGTCAATTGCAGCAATCTTAATAGTGGATTCTTTAGTTACAGTCCATTGGCTATCCTACAGAAGGAATATTTCAAAATTAAGTGATATCTATGTGCTTACAAAAATAGTGAAATACATTAAAAATACTAAATAATATACTTTTTAGTGTCACTGCTTAAAGTCAACTTAAATAATATAAAGGAGTATCCAGATAAACTCCAGCACATATAATTCTTACCATTAAAAAGGAGCCCTTCCCCCAAATACAAGCAGAGCCTAGGAAGTGTGCTTGAGTAACACTGGGCAGTTTTATTATTATTACCCAAGCTAGTAAAGAAAAAAAATACAGAATAAAAATAACTTCTAGCACTGTTCTATCCAGACTAGTCTAATCCAAACAGCTTTTCCATTCATTTTGCCTAGAATAATTTGCAGTTACCATATTTCTTGACACCGTGCACCAGGATTAAAGCCATGCACTTAATCCCCTGCAAGATCAAGTTACAATTTAAAGAACATAAGTTTCAGAGTATGATTTTCTTACCTTATCTGACAGATCAAGTCCATCATCTTGTTTTTCATACCTGACTAACCAGTTATCGTTACCTCTGTCTTTAAACAGGAAAACGCATGTCACCACACATCATTTATAAAGAAATCATCATCTAAAATGATACACAATGACTAATACTGTAAATTGAGAATTTGCCAAAGGAGTCAGGCAAAACTGTTCAAAGGTTTTTTTCTATCACAATACATATGGTTTAGCTTTACTGGAACATTTGAGGCAACCAATATAGCGGAAAGACCACAAACTTACCAAGTATTCTTAGGTATTACTGCTTTAGTTTCCCCAACCAGCTGAATATACAGCAAAATATCAAGAAAGCTAAGAAAAATTACTTCCATCCATTTTATGCAGAAAGATGGGCTGTAGTGTGCACTTTTCCTGGGGAAAACTGTCAGCAGCAGCAGCCACAATGAATTAATTTTTAAGCTTGTTTTAATACTGATGCAGAAAGGCCCTCCAAAATTATAGGTAGTTTGATGTTTGACTACATGGAGAAAAGAGACTCTTCAAACATGGAGGGGGAGGGGGAAAACCTGAAGAGCCTTTCAGAAGCCAAAAATGTCTGCACTGTTCAGACAAAATTGAGACACTGAAGGCTTTGACAAATCAGATAGATGATAATTACACGGATTTGTAGGTCCTCCATCATCTTAAGGCGCTCCCTTAAGTTTAGTTAAAGATTCATCAGAAGATTTTCATGTTCTATCATGATACATTAGATGAAGGTAAAATCATCCACGTAAGGAGGTTTTACATTTTCAGTATTTTCCTTAAAATTGTACGGATGTCACAGGACACAGTAACTGGAAACATTGGGATCATTTGGCAAAGCTGACAGACCATAGCAACAGCTAGAAAGTATTACACTCTTATGAAACTTTTTTCTTTTAGTTTGCTTCTAAAAAGCCACAGGTTAGAATGACTTATTTTCAGCTGGATTCCTTTCCAGTAAGTGAATTTAAGAAAAGGAAAATGAACTAGAGCTGCTATGTATGAAGAGGTGTAAAGATGCCCACCTCTGACAAAGCAGCGAAGGAAGTATTTTAAATATAAAACTGCCTTTGGATTCTTGAGGAAATAAGTCACCTACATAGTCAACAGAAGAATCCCAGCTTTTGAGTGAAAGAAACAAGAATGCAGGAGAACAGATATATACATCACAGTTGTACTTCAGTGCCTGGTCACAACGAATATGAACAATTTTTCACTGATGTGAAACCGTGCTGTTATCAGCTCCACCTTAGCATAAAAGGAATGTTAATCGTGGCTTTTCTGACAGTTCCTGAACCCTCATCGTCCCTTATCCTAATCAGTAGAAACAGTTAATAGCCTACTGACAGGATTAAAACATAATTAAAGTATTTGTTCTTGAATTCTTATATTGCTTAAAAATATCAAGTAAGAGGCAAAAAGGGTTGTTCGGATTTTATCATATTGCAATATTTTAAAAGTTTAAAATGCAACATTCTGGCCTTCAATTGTGAGAAAAGCATCTGAAATGCATTAAAAGCCTTCAGCAGCAGCTTGCCACCAGCATTCCTTACCATTTCTGCTTCACAAAATTAGATAAGTACTGAGACACACTAAAAAATACCTGTATTTCTGATGACATAATCCAAGATAACCAATCTTTCAAACTGTGACTGAAATTCTTTCCTTGTATTCTCAGGTAAAGGATCAGTTTCAAACTTCCTGAGCCAGTAGTCAGCTTCCTTATAACCTTCAACAAACAGCTGGAAGGAGCCAACCTGAAACATTAAGAAATTGCATTTGGAAGATGCCCCTGGGTAGGTCACATAACTAATCTTAACATTAACAGAAAACCTGATTATATATTTTCAAAGTTCAGAACGCAAGAAGTATGACACTAAAAAAAAAAATAATTACTACATGGTTTCTCTCATTCCTAAATTATTAAAAAAAAGTAAGACTCAAATCACGAAGGGGTTTTGGTGTGGGGTTTTTTGGTTGGTTTTTTGTTTTGGTTTGATTTGGCGGGGGGGGGAAGAGGGGGTTGTTTGTTTGAATATTTGTTAAAGCACTTACTGAGTTTACCAGGAATAAAATGTAGCCAGACAGCTCAACATAAATGAACACTCAGTATTACAAGCAATATTTGAAACAAAGAGAAATAAATAACATCTATTCTCTTTTTCATTGGAAAGGAGTTCATAGGAAACTCACCAAAAATTACAGGAGAAAAATCCTCCTCTCTGAAAAGCTTTGTGTTTCATTGAGAACAGCAGCATTAACCAAGTTTTCAAGACAGACACTTTTGCATGAAAATGGTTGAAATACATTTCCCAGAAGAGTCCAAGGAAGAAAACTACAGATGGCATAGGATCCATAAGTGTGGGCAACAGGAAAGGTGTTCAGGATTAAAATTCAAAAAGGGACTTATATTGAAGAAGTAAAATGCAGATAGACACGCACGTGCAGAGACATGGACAAACTGATAGCATGTGGAATAACCATGCTGACACAAACTTGCATAACCTATGTCACATGGATCAAAATTGCTGGGAACTGACACAAGTGGATTACCCAAGGTGCACATAACCTGTGTTTTAAAGTTTTAAGAGTAGAACACTGTGGTGATATTTTGGGAATACAATAAGGCTCATTAGGCAAGAATGATGTGAAATTTTAGTCAGTGGAGTACTGCACACAAGATGAAAGGAACATAGGTAGGAAGAACACAACAATAGGATACCTAAAAGAATAATAGAAGGGGGGGAAAAAAAAGATTTAGGAAAAATGAGAGAACTAGATAGATTGCAGGAGAGAAACAATTAGACAATATAAAACATGACAGAGGAAGTGTACTGAACAGTCCAGAAAAAGAAGAAAAGTGAGAGATGTACAACATTTTAACGTGTTACTCCCCCAGTAGAAAGCTAGGCTACAGACTGATACAAAAAGTGGCAAGATTATTTAGGTAGTTCAAATGAAGAAATGATATAAGAGAGTGGATAGATTTTGAGTAGAAACAGTCATATTTATCAAACTTCAGTCAAAGATAGTTTTCAACAAGAAACAAGGTTTTTCTTCTACTGTTGAAGTTACCTACAAATATTCTTTTTTTTTTTTTTTCCTCTAGTTCAAAGTTTTGTATAAGAATCAGGAAATACACAAATCACTTATTTTTCATCTTACCTTAGGAGGTAGTCCAATTCGATTAAATTTTTTAGCAACTTTTGGCACTTTCTCTAAAGCATATTTTTTTCCTCTTGACTTTGCACGATCTATTGCACTGTAATTAAAGGTCTCACTGACAAGCCAGACAACCTTAAAATATGAAAGTTAAAAACATAGCTCAGAATTCCTCATTATTTCAACTATAAATTTATAGTAGATTTTATGCTTAGTAATCAAAAAGCAAAAAAGGAAGTATCAGGCATTTCCAACAGACAAATTTTATATGAAAAAGTGAATATTTGCTATTTTACATCTCAAACAAAAACGTGGTAGAAGACTTAAGTGGGAATCTTTTTATGTTGCTTTTTGCAATTTTGATGCATATCACCAAAACACAAAGCACATAAGTGTCAAAAAATGCTGGAAATGGAAGTGGTTCCAAAGAAGAGATTCAATTCAGATCGCAAACTTACCCTGTAAAACAGAAATCACAGTCACTATTTCTGCACCAAACCACTGTGCCTTTGGACTTGCAGTAGTTTATAAATGACTTGAGGATAATGCATGATATACAAGGATGTCTCCACAACTACAGTCCAGAGCTGACAAATCTGTCACTATATAGTTTTTACATTCAATAATTTACATATTTAACTTTTACCTTAGTTTTAGGTACAACTCCTAGCCCCAGCTTATCATCCACAAGATAGGCACCAGCTTCAGAGAGGTATCCCTGATTTGGAACAAGGCAGCCTCTGCCAAAGCAGCAAGGGCAACAAACTTTGTGAAAATATTTGGTCCATTTTGGATTTAGATGTCCATAAGGCTCTTCAGATTTTGGTTTGAACACTCCGATAATTTTCTAGGATAAATAATATAAAATTAAAGCATGAACACTTTGAGTTGCAAAAGATTAAAATTATTCTGAAAACAAGTTATTTGAAAGTATTGGGTAAATACTACACATTGCATTTTACAGTTGCTCTTTTTAGATGATGAAATAATAAAACAAAATGGTATTCCAAATAAATTTATCATCAAATGCTTGTCTACAAGTAGTACAAATTCAAAATCAGCTCTTCGTAAGAGAAAATCAAAACCAGCTAACATTTACTAGTTTTTCAAAATTTGAGAGGACAGCATTTTAGTATATATTTTTTATATATTCTAAGTTTTTAAAAAGGAGGTTTTAAAAGTAGTTTTAAAAATAATTTTCAACCCACCAATTAACTCATTGACAAGATACTTCAGAGACGTAATGGTTCCAGGAAAGTGACAAACATACAGAATGCTAATAATCAAATGTTATCTCTTCTCTATTTTATTTATTGCTTTAAGTTAGAATACAACAAAGTGTTGTACACTTTGCAATTTCAACGAGTGGTGTCCTTTACCACTGCTGAGATTGTTCAACTCAAAGCTGACAGTGGTTCACACTGTCAGCCACCATTTACATCAGAAACATAGAATCACAGAATCGTTTAGTTTGGAAAAGACCTTTAAGGTCATCAAGTCCACCCGTTAACCTAGCACTGCCAAGCCCACCACTAAACCATGTCCCTAAGCACCACATCTACACTCAAGGATGTTGACTCAACCACTTCCCTGGGCAGCCTGTTCCAATGCTTGATAACCCTTTCAGTGAATTAGTTTTTCCTAATATCCAAACTAAACCTCCCCTGCATGTAGTAAAGTTTAAATGTAGTAATGCTTAAAATTACTCAGAGTACTGTGTCAAATTTTGGACACTACACTTCAAGAAATCTGATAACAAACTGGAGAAAGTTGAAAAAACAATGAAAATAAGCACAAAAAATGTGAATAATGAAAGACTGTAGGAACAGCGATTGTTTAGCCTAAGAGCAAATGGAGCACAGTGAACTATGTATTAGGTTGCTATAAAGAAAAAAGGAACAACACATTTACTGTTAACAAACCAAGGCTTAAATCCCAGCAGCTAAGTTGCAAAGAAAAAACCCTTCTGAACCGTAAGAGTGGTTCAAGACTGAAACGGACTGCCAGGTTGTGGAGTCTCCAAAACAGGATGCCACTAACAACAGGTTAGACATTCATCAGGAATCACATAAAGAAGATCCTGCTCCACAACACAGGCATTAAATAGATGATTTCTCAAGGTGCCCTCCTACAGGTGATTCTATATTTGTTAACTTCAAATCACAAGATTATTACCACACTAAAATACATAACCTTCCAATTGTCTGTGATAAACTTTAGCCTAGTGCATAAAGTCCACGTAATGACTCTTCTATAGTCCAAGTGAAATGCTGTATCTTCATTCCGTCTCACAGGACCACGGTAAGTAAATCAAATTCTTATCTAATAAATATTTAAGAACAATTGTTTAGGAAGCATTTTTACATATTAGTACTTTCCCAAATCCTTATTAAAAAAAGTGAGTATCTCAATAAGCTAAACACTGCCTGTTGTTGCACCAACACTCATAGCTGATTTACACTCTTAAGTCATGAACAAAATTCGCTGACAGTCAGAAACTAGCATTCTGCTTCAGTAACTGCTAGTTCAACTAGGTTAGGGAGAGGAGCTGACTAGTTGTTCTAGTTTCTAGAGAATTTTCACCTGCTTTGTCCAAGACAATCTAACTAGTCCAAGATCATCCAAGACAAACTACAGAGCACTTATTTCATTCAGTTTGTAAACAGATTACACAAGACACCAGGCATTAGTAGCATCACCTGTCTTGTGATTCACTATTTTGATTCACTCCCATCAACTACCAGGAGAAATAAGTTATGAACTATCACTATTTGCATTCATCCTAAAATAAGTTTCCTATCAACAAGGGCAGAAAACACATTGACAAAAATTCTCGTATTTTCACTATGCTGTTATCTGTCATTCTTAGGATACATTCAACATCATAAACAAGTACGCAAATGAACTGCACAGACACGATTTAATTTAGACCTACACAAAAGGTTACACTTAGAATAAATTATTCTATGCAACATGAAAGGCTGGCATGTTCTCTGAACACTTTACTATTTTTTTTTTTTAAATGACAACACTTTGGAAACTACATTTACTCGGTATACTAGTTTAGTCAAAATTCTAATATTAGGTTTAGAATTGTTAAAACGTTATTTAATTTTTTCCTATTGAGTCACAGGCATTTACCTGCTGAAAACAAAGCTAGCAACTTTTCAGTTCCTGGAAACATAGTGGTGTATTTGGTAGTATATGCCAAGCCACTAATTATCTCTTTCTGAATTGCTGTGTGGATACTTCTTCCTACAAACTGCCCATTTTAAAAAGGAGCTCAGCTCATTCCATTACTTGCCTGGACCGCACTGTGCTATACTATCAAATCTAGATATGGTTTTCAAGGTTTCACTGAAGTTAGATTTTGCAGAGTCGCTGCTGTTGAGGACCACAATAGAACCAGAAAGCTCAGTATGTAGACAACCTACCAAGACCAGTCTTAATTTTGCAAGCCAAAATTAATTTTTAGACTGATTCCATTGGCATTACCAACTAGCTGAACAGCTAAACTGTCAAAAACATGTTGCAGAACAGTTTGTAACAAACACAATGTGTTTTACTTTATTGGTTATGCAATGAACAACAAATGCAGAAATATTCAACACTTCAACAATAGTGCTGCTTAAGTAATGAACTGCTTCATATTGGTATACAATTATGCCAATAATGCAAAAAAGTTCTAAGTTTAATTAGGCAATTTTATCTTTCTGGGAGACCCAAATCAGTGAATAAGATGACCTAATGGAAACAGGTTATTTTACCTGCAACTTGGTATTAGGATGGGTAAACATTTCAGAAGCTAACCAGTAAGAAGGCTTAGCACATCTTCAATAAGCTCTTTCCCAGCATAAGGAAGAAGAGGTTACTCAAGAAAAATAGGAGAAAGCAAGTCACAAAACTGGTCTGAAGCAGAATGATGCAATACTCTGTCAAACAGGATGTGAAATCCATTCTACAAATGGGAGTTACACTATTGACAAAATGAAGTTTTATCAGGCCTTTAATATGGATAACATTTAGATAAGCTCTAGATTTAGTGCAAAGAATAAAAGCAAAATTGAAAGTCAGCTAGGAACTCAGTATCGTTATTCTCACAGTCTCATGTTGGCAAGTACTTTCAAACTTCACAATGAAATTTTTCTGGCCTGCATAAAAACTCCTGGTGGTTTTTTAGCCTTCATTTCTCTTAAATACCTACATTCAAATCAATGACTTGCATGAAAGGGGAGGGCAAGTCACTACTAGGAACTTAAATAGGAACAAAATGAACACTTCACTGCAAAACAGAAGTAAAACCAACAAGAAGATCACCAAGTAAGAAACAAGGAAATGAGTCCCATCCAAAATACTATGGTTACAAAAATTATGTGCAAGTACTCTCTCATTGGCCCAGGGCATGGTGAGTCTTCGAGGCATTTGCTACTCACCAAAAAACCTGCAAAATCAGTTTGGAGAGGTTTCAGACAAAACAGATTTGCACATATGGAAATCCAGAAAAAGTATGATTATTTTTTCCTAGTAATTTCTCTACTCATTTTCTAAGAATAAAAGATCTCGATTGCACAGTATCAAGAAAAACTCAAAAAACCCCACTTAAGCAGTTTTAAAGCATTTTTAGCATAATACTTTAGAATATCCTTAGACATGTCACGCATTGAATTTTTGAAAAAGTATTGATTTAAACCAGTATTTGGTTACTTAAATTTTTTCCTATTGCATATTAAATAAGACATAATCCTAATTTAAAATACCTCTTTAAAAACAGTATAAAGTTTGACTATATATATAAGCAAACAATCTGAAAACCTACAAAGAACTAAACTACTGAAGTAGGGAAGTGACCTGAAGTTTAAGACGTCTACTGAAACTTTCAACAGGTTTTCATATTAACAGCATTGTATGTGACAGAAAGAGTCTCACAAAGCAATTAAAGACTATTTTTTTCCTTCCAGTTTCAAGAAGAGAGAGAGACACTCCCTCCCCACCTACTTTGGCTCTCCTCCACCAGAACGAAGAGGGTCATTACCATCAAACATTCCTGGAACACAGAAGCATGAACTGCAACATGCAGTTCTAACTTAGAAGATTTTGAAAGGGTAGTTCTGCAACTTTCCATCTTAGAAATAAATTCATCTTTATTAAGTCAGGTAACTAGTCTAAAAAAAAAAAATCATTCATTCAATAAAGTGTAAAAACTATCACCAAAAAAGTGGTATTAAAACAAACCAAACATCTATGAAAATTAAGTGACAAACCAGGATTATATTCTGTAATGACCAATAATATGAATACAAGCTAAACAAAAAACCTTCCTAAATGAATGGGAAATGACCTTTTGGGGACGCAGGGAAGAATAATCTTGAATATGTTCTGAAAACCTAGGCACTCAAAGTGTTACAACTTCCATGTCCAACGCGACTGGGATCTTCAGGATTAATGAACACCTACATCTACCAAAGACCAGAAGACTGTTGATTGAGCTTAAAATAAAATCAGATATGATAAATCAACAAAGGTGTGGGGGTTGAGAGTCCTCTTTTTTGGAACAGGTCAGTAAGCAGACAAAGTATTTCTGATTTAAAGAAAACATGTTTTCTTTAAAGTATGTCTGAAATGTTATTTTCTCTTACTAAATAAGACTAACCAAATGATACTTTCCAAACAAGATATTCAGGTAACTGTTACTTCACTGTGTCAAAGTAACCTTAGGACACCTCTTTAATGATCACTATTCAAGGTACCATTTACCACTAAGGGAGGGGAAATCAAGTCTGCTGAATCTTAACCTGAAGATAGGCATAAGTAAAAAGGTAGATTTGTTTACATTACTCTTCTTACCCA